TCCAAGATAGGGGGAGAACGCAGCACAGCTGTGGTAGTGATTGTACTGACATCAGCGTAATCTATCCAAGTTCAACAGTGTTTAACTTGCTCTGGGTTTGTATTTGAGACATCCTTCCTGTCTCAAAGGATAATTTGAGATCTAATTCACAATGCATAAAATGCATCCATTTAAAGTATGTAACTCGGCTGGGTGCGGTGGCTCATGACTGTAATCCCAGCACTTTGGGAGGCTGAGGCAAGGGGATCACTTGAGGTCAGGAGCTTGAGACCAGCCTGGCCAACGTGGTGAAAGCCGTCTCTACTATAATACAAAAACTAGCTGGTTGTGGTGGCACACACCTGTAACCCCAGCTACTTAGGAGGCTGAGGCAGAAGAATCACTTGAACCCGGGAGGTGGAGGTTGCAGTGAGCCCAGATCATGCCACAGCACTCCAGTCTGGGTAACAGAGTGAGACTTCATTAAAAAAAAAAAAAAAAGGTATGTAACTTGATGGTTTTTAGTATATTTGGTGGTGTAACCATCTCCACAATCGAGTTTAGAACGTTTTCTTTACCCTCCCAAAATAAACTCCATACCTATTAGCAGTCAGTCTCCATTTCCCCCCAACCCCCAGCCCTAGGAAACCAAACTATTTTGTTACTACAAATTTGCCTATTCTGGACATTTCAAATAAATGGAATCATACAATAATGTAGTCTTTTGTGACTGGCTTTTTTCACTTGGTATAGTTTCAAGGCTCATCCATATTGCAACATATATGACTACTTCCTGTTTATTGACAAATAATATCCCATTGTATAGATATACCATATTTTATTTATCCATTCATTAGCTGATAGACATTTGGGTTGTTTCTACCTTTAGCAAGTTATTTCTGCATGTTTCAGCTTATTCATCCATAAAGATGAGTTAACAGCTGCCTTGTCTTGGAGGATTATGAGAGGCACCCAGGGAATATGTGAAATACATTCTAAACTATAAAGTGGTACAAGAATGTAAAGATACTTTATTACTTTAATTTTTTCAGAAATAGGGCATCAACTCTGTGGTCCAAGCTGGAGTGCAATGGTGCAATCGTGGCTCACTGCAGCCTCAACCTCCTGTGCTCAAGGGATCCTCTTGCCTCAGCCTCCCCTGTAGCTGAGGCTACAGGTACATGCCACCATACCTGGCTTTTTTTTTTTTGGAGAGATGAGGTCTTGCTATGTTGACCAGGCTGGTCTTCAACTGCTGGCCTCCAACAATACCTGCATGGGGTATTATAGATGTGAGCCATCACACTGGCCTAAAGACTTTTTGTTTTGAGATGGAGTCTCACTTTATCATCCAGACTGGAGTACTGTGGCGCGATCTCATCTCACTGCAACCTCAGCCTCCCAAGTAGCTGGGATTATAGGCAGGCATGCCCCACCACACCCAGTTTTTTTTTTTTTCTTGAAACAGTCTTGCTCTGTCGCCCAGGCTGGATTGCAGTGGCACGATCTTGCCTCAATGCAACCTCTGCCTCCTGGGTTCAAGTGATTCTCCTGCCTCAGCCTCCTGAGTAACTCAGGCTACAGGCACCCACCACCACGCCTGGCTAATTTTTGTATTTTTTTTTTTCAGTGGAGACGGGGTTTCACCATATTGGCTAGGCTGGTCTCAAACTCCTGACCTTGTGACCTGCCCGCCTTGGCCTCCCAAAGTGTTGGGATTACAGACGTGAGCCACCACACCTGGCTAATTTTTTGTATTTTTGGTAGAGATGGGGTTTCACCATGTTGGCCAGGTTGGTCTTGAACTCCTGACTTCAGGTGATCTGCCCACCTCGGCCTCCCAAAGTGATGGGACTACAGATGTGAGCCACCACGCCTGGCCCTAAAGACTTTCCTTTTTTTTAAGGTGAAGTCTTGCTCTGTCACCCAGGCTGGAGTGCAGTGGTGTGATCTTGGCTCACTGTAAGCTCCACCACCCAGGTTCAAGTGATTCTCCTGCCTCAGTCTCCCGAGTAGCTGGGATTACAGGAGCCCGCCACCACACCCAGCTAATTTTTGAATTTTTAGTAAAGATGGGGTTTCACCAGGTTGGCCAGGCTGGTCTTGAACTCCTGATCTCGTGATACGCCTGCCTCAGGGTCCCAAAGTGCTGGGATTACAGGCATGAGCCACCGCAACTGGCCAAGACTTTTTTTTTTTTTTTTTTTGAGATGGAGTCTCACTGTGTCTCCCAGGCTGGAGTGCAGTGGTATAATCTTGGCTCACTGCAAGCTCCGCCTCCCGGGTTCATGCCATTCTCCTGCCTCAGCCTCCTGAGTAGCTGGGAATACAGGCGCCTGCCACCAAGCCCCACTAATTTTTTGTATTTTTAGTAAAGACAGGGTTTCACTATGTTAGCCAGGATGGTCTCAATCTCCTGACCTCGTGATCCGCCTGCCTGGGCCTCCCAAAGTGCTGGGATTACAGGCGTGAGCAACTGTGCCCGGCTAAGACTTTTTAATATTTATATGAGAGCAGCTAAGGAGAGCACTGGGGCCAGTGTAACTTCACTGAGCTTATGCCCTATTGTTGGTTAACTCAGGGCAATCAGTTGAATATCTCTTTGGGTCTCGTCTCTATGTAGAGTCCATTTTGCTTTTTTCCTAGGTAATGGACTGCATCCACATTTCATCCACATTTGTTCGTAGGAGACCAGGTTAGAGTATGCTTACTTCAGTGTAAGCTACTGCCACCGTAGAAAATCAAATCACAGGAGAATGATATTTGAACATCAAGGCAGTCATATTTCATCCAAATTTTTAGCAAGACCAGGGAAAAGGGCTGAAGCTATAGGTGTTAAGGCCTAGGTTTCCCAAATATCTTGCCAACTCTCCTTTTCTTGATTTTTTTTTTTTTTTTTTTTTTTTTTGAGACAGAGTCTTGCTCTGTTGCTCAGGCTGGAGTGCAGTGGTGCGATCTTAGCTCACTGCAACCTCTGCCTCCTGGATTCAAGCAATTCTCTGCCTCAGCCTCCCAAGTAGCTGAGATTACAGGTGCCCGCCACCACACCTGGCTAATTTTTTGTATTTTTAGTAGAGACAGGGTTTCACCATCTTGGCCAGGCTGGTCTTGAACTCCTGACCTTGTGATCCACCTGCTTTGGCCTCACAGAGTGCTGGGATTACAGATGTGAGCCACCGTGCCCAGCCTCCTTTTTTAATTTTAAGTTAGCTTTCTTTCACACTCACATGTGCCAGGGTGACTTTCTTCACCCTTCACTGCCCATCCAGTAAGCATGCTAAGGTAATGCAAATACATTTTAATATTAGACCAAGAAAAAAGAAATTAGGAAGGAAAACCTGTTGCCATAACAAGTACAAAGATTCAAAAATTCAACTCAGATATATACCATTTGCTCCCCTAACTTCCTATTTTTTGCAGGTATATAGCTGTAAGCTATATAATGTGTGGGTGAGAGAGGGATGGAGGAAGGCCAGGGTGGGCAGTGGGTTATATAAGAACTACTGTTGGCTGGGTGCAGTAGCTCACGCCTGTAATCCCAGCACTTTGGGAGGCCGAGGCGGGTATATCACGAGGTCAGCAGATCGAGACCATCCTGGCTAACGCGGTGAAACCCCATCTCTACTAAAAATACAAAAAATCAGCTGGGCGCGGTGGCAGGCGCCTGTATTCCCAGCTATTTAGGAGGCTGAGGCAGGAGGATGCCGTGAACCCGGGAGGTGCAGCTTGCAGTGAGCAGAGATTGAGCCACTGCACTCTAGCCTGGGAAACGGAGCGAAACTCTGTCTCAAAAAAAAAAAAAAAAAAAAAAAGAACTATCGTTTACTACTAGTGGCTGCCTAAAGCATAATTTCCCCCTTCAAAGCCTTGGTAAGAGCAGCTGGGGAACAGTGGTTAAAAATGCTTTGTTTTACACCCAGCAAAAAGGGTCATTAACACCTCAACTGTTTTTTTTTGTTGTTTTTTTTTGTTTTTACCAAGCCCTGTGGAAGGGCTCCTGCTGCTGTTGACAATCATGGTAACCCTCGGGGTAGCAGGGGCAAGGGTGGATAATTCACCACAAAATGCTATTCACTGATTTGGATTATGTGCGCCACTGTTCTTCTCCATTCATGTGCTTAATTAAGAGCTGACTAGTACGAAATAAATGAAACTGCAATTCTTCACTAGAACTATCTGGGGAGCAACAGAAATTCTGCAGGGAGGGTATGTGCCAGAAAAACTCCTTTATTACCATCTCCCTATTATATATTTCTATTCTAGGGTTAGTGTTAATGTCAGGTCTCATTCTTAAGGCAGCAAAAGGCCTGGAGAAGTAGTATAAGCTTCATCTTCATTTTATCAAGGATGAAATCAAAGCAAGGAGCTGTGACTAGGACAATATAGTTAGTCTAGGGCATAACTCCCAACCACGTTGGGGAAAGCCCAGTAGGAACACAGGGCTATAGTTGGCTCAGCCCTTATTCATGACAACGTGTTTCACATCATTCAAAAGTTTTTGTAGAAGTCTCTGTAGTGACCAGCTGATACTGCCTGGGAGTTATTTCCATTTGTTCAGTCCCTGAGGGGACAGAAAATGGAATTATTGCTTTCTTATAGTTCAGTTAGGCAAATGTGGATAGAGGGCATTGAACTTAGTTCACAAAGGGTGCCAAAATCCACACTGCTCCTTTAAAAAAAAAATGCATGAAAAGTTACAGCAAGAAGTCAGGGCCTCAGGCTGGGCATGTGGCTCACGCTTGTAATCCCAGCACTTTGAAGGGCTGAAGTGGACGGACCACATGAGGCCAGGAGTTTGAGACCAGCCTGGCCAACATAGTGAAACCCTGTCTCCACTAAAAATACAAAAATTAGCTGGGCATGGTGGCACACACCTGTAATCCCAGTTACTTGGGAAGCTAAGGCATGAGAATCTCTTGAACCTGGGAGGCGGAGGCTGTAGTGAGCTAACCGCGCCACTGCACTCCAGCCTGGGTGACAGAGCGAGACTCTGTTTCAAAAAAATAAAAAGCCAGGGCCTCGGATTTCACAAACTAATGTTTCATCACCTCCTTCCCCACCTCAAGATAACTGCCAGGACACTAGGACACTCTTTTTTGTTTAATACTGAAGACAGGTGAAGAGAAATCATTGGTGGGGTCTGTCCTTCCCATAGTCCGTTTGATCACAGTTTTCCCATGAGCTTCAAAATAAAAGACTATAAACTGAAGGTTTACTTTAAATTACCTAAGTCCCTGAAATAGAAGAGTAATTTATTTTTAGTATTAAAGAGATTAACAAGTTGTCTCATTATTCTGACTTATCCATATTCAAAACTCACCTATCAGAAAACTGCAAATCCATAGCTGCTAACAATCCCTATTTAACCATTAAGAAAGGATTTACAACAATACAAGCTATGTACATAGGAAATATCAGAGAGTAGAAAGTGCTGACCAGAGGTACCCAGAAAAGCTTTCTGTGACTGAAATAATACTTCCTGTCTAAGGTTCAGGAGTAAGATGCTTCTTTGGGGGCTGAGAAATTAACATGAGAAACCTTTGGTATCCAAACTGGACTTCTGAGCTCTTTGCCATGGCATTTTTGGCTAGTCTAACGCAATCATTTGGAGAAAAACACCGAGGATGAGGTGGAAGAATTCTCAACCTCGGACCGATCTCTGGCCCCAGGGTTAGGACTGAGAACAAATACACTCAAGGGCTGACTTTGAATGGCAGTGGGACAACTAGGAAAACCAATCACTTAGTATCAAGTCAGGCCTGTTGTGAATACCCACCATGGCTCCATCCCAGGGCCCTTGTACTGAGACCCTCGGAATAATGATAGGTGAGAGGATGATACAGCTAGAGTTATGTGACTTAAAGGTAGCAACCCACAAGGATGGCAGCAGAAGTCCTTAACAGTGACCTTCAGATCAGTGACACAACTCCACTATTAGTGGCAGCAGGGCTGAGTAAATCCCTAATAATTTCAGGTTAGGCAGGATCTTGACTCATATAACTCATGGCAGAAGCTACAGGTTCTACTCTATAAAATCTCTGTACACATCCAAGAGGTTGGGACACTCAGAGAGAGTGGCAGAACACATGGTCTTCAAAGATCTGCTTCTCTGTAGCTGGGAAGATCTTGTCACAAATTGGACAATTCAAACAAAGGGCCTGCATCTGCTGTTGCTCCAAGGTGTGATCACAAATATCATCTGCTTTGCAGACAGGGCATTTCTTGATGGAGAGCTGGGAGGAAGAGTAAAGAGGTCAGTACAAATGTAAGCTATATGTGGCACAGATGTGGCCATCCTGTCTTCTACTATATCCTCAGTGTCTAGCATAATGACTGGCACATGGTTAGGCGCTCAAGAAATAGTGAATAAATGAAGAGAATGCACATTTGGAGATACTTACCAGGCTTCATCTAACCCCAGAATTGAAAGGGCCTAATATTGCTGAAGTAGCCAAAGTAGCTTCTAGCCTAGAAGGGGCACTGGACAGAACTTGTTTGGCTAGCTGCCTGGTTCCGATCTCCTCCCTACTTATGCTACCAAACAACTTAAAGGTATAGATCCTAAGCAAAATGCTGATGGATGAACTGTGCTTTCTTCTCCCTTCCACAACAGGCTGGCTCAGCCTTGGGCCCAGAACAAACTGATCCAGCTGACTTCCGGAGTTATCAGAATGAACCTGTCTCCCTATGGTTCTCCCATGAACTGGAAAAGGAAGGGAAATTTTCAAGGGCTTTGTGGGAATATTCTCATGAATCAAATACTTACCTGGCTGGGGGAAGAACTTTCTTGGATACCTGAGAAGAATCAAAAAGATCTCATTCAATGAGAAAACACCACCCTAGCTTCTTCTCATATGTACTGCTGATAGAGGGGATCTAGGTCAATGATAAGGTGAAAAGAAAACATAAATAATGAAATCTTTTTTTTTTTTGAGACAGAGTCTCGCTCTGTCCCCCAGGCTGGAGTGCAGTGGCGTGATTTCGGCTTACTGCAGCCTCTGCCTCCTGGGTTCAAGCAATTCTCCTGCCTCAGCCTCCTGAGTAGCTGGGATTACAGGTGCCCACCACCATGCCTGGCTAATTTTTGGTAGTTTTAGTAGAGACAAGGTTTCTCCATGTTGGCCAGGCTGGTCTCCAACTCCTGATCTCAAGTGATCTGCCTGCCTCGGCCTCCCAAAGTGCTGGGATTACACCACGCCCAGCCTGAAGTTGTATTTTTTTCTTTCTTTTTTTTTTTTTTTTTTGAGATAGAGTTTTGCTCTGTCATCCAGGCTGGAGTGCAGTGGCACGATCTCAGCTCACTGCAAGCTTCGTCTCCCGAATTCACACCATTCTCCTGTCTCAGCTTCCCAAGTAGCTGGGACTACAGGCGCCTGCCACCACGCCTGGCTAATTTTTTGTTTATCTATTTTTAGTAGAGATGGGGTTTCACAGTGTTAGCCAGGATGGTCTCGATCTCCTGACCTCGTGATCTGCCTGTCTTGGCCTCCGAAAGTGCTGGGATTACAGGTGTGAACCACTGTGCCCGGCTGAAATTGTATTTTCATTAGCTGTGCGTGTGTATATTATATATATATACAGACACACACATACACACAGACTTTATATATATATGTGTATATATATGTTATACAGTCAGAAAAAACAATAGGGCTATTTTCAGAGTGGGGAAAATGAGATTTTAATAAAAATAGTAACAATTTAAGGACAATCTGAGAATAGATTTTAAGACTGTATCCACAGACAGGTACAATGGCTCACACTTAAAATCCCAGCACTTTGGGAGGCTGAGGTGGGTAGATTGCTTGAGCTCAGGAGTTTGAAATCAGCCTGGGCAACATGGCAAAACCCCAACTCTATACAAAATACAAAAATTAGCTGGGCGTGGTGGCTGGCGCCTGTAGTCTTTGCTACTTGGTAGGCTGAGGTGAGAGGATCGGTTGAGCCCGGGAGGTGGAGGTTGCAGTGAGCCAAGTCCACTACTACGCCCAGCTAATTTTTGTATTTTTAGTACAGACAGGGTTTCACTACGGTAGCCATGCTTGTCTTGAACTCCTGACCTCAGGTGATCTGCCCGCCTTGGCCTCCCACAGTGCTGGGATTACAGGCAGGAGCCACCGCGCATGGCTACAAACTTAATTTTAAAGAAAAAATAAACTTGTTACCTGTTATAAACATCTGGTTGTAACTCTAAAGATAATGCTGCTGCTTTAAAATGCCACAAAAAGCAAATGAGATCTCATATTGCTTTTGGAGACAAATGAGAAAAGCTCCCTGTTTGGCAAGGACATGTTACCTTAAGTCCTTTTCACCCCCATTTCCTGTCCTACCACCGAGGAATCTCTGCGGAGCATGTTTCTGCTGCCCTTGGTCAGCCATCAGGGTGGCTGCTGTATCCACTAGCTCCTGGGCGGCATAACTTGCCTCTCTTGCTACCATTTCAAAACCTTAATTAGCTTCCTCAGCTTTGTATGTGTATATCTTCTACATAAAGACATTTCTCTGATTTACACATTTGGAATATGGCCATGGGACTCAATTTGTGTCTGCTGCCTCTAGGCGAATGATCTGATTTGTGTCTTCTGAATTCAGATTTATTTCTCAATTAACACTTCTCGCCTGGCAATCTTTCCATTGGGTCCTCAGCTTCTGCCCAGCAAGTCTTAACAATGAGACTGGTCTTAATGAGCACCTCAGAAACAAAAATTTAGTAGGGGAAAGGGATGCAGGCAGGGTCCTTCCAGTTGGAATGGGAAAGTTGTCTTACCAGAATACGGGTTTCCATAGACAAGTCCTGGATTTTGTCCTGCGCCTCCTTCATCTGAAGTAGGTACTTGATACGGCAAAGAATTAAAATCCAGACCCATGTAACTGAGCAATCTGCTGTTCTCCCTCTTCAAAAGCTAAGGATAGAGGATGTATAGACACGTTGAAAGACAATACCAAGAATGGCTACCAGGAACTGGCTAGGAGATGTCCCTCCCAGGTAGTTCTCAATTAGCAATGTGGCACTGGAGAAACTCAGTAATCGATAATCCATAATTCTTCAGAAGGGAAGGCAGCAGTTTCAATATTCCAAAGATCTAAGTTCTTTATACCTGAATTTATTTATTTATTTTGAGTCAGAGTCTTGCTCTGTCTCCCAGGCCAGAGTGCAGTGGCACCATCTTGGCTCACTGCAACCTCTGTCTCCCAGGTTCAAGTTATTCTTATGCCTCAGCCTCCCAAGTAGGTGGGATTACAGGCACCCACCACCACGCCTAGCTAATTTCTGTATTTTTAGTAGAGATGGGGGTTTCACCATGTTCTCCAGGCTGGTCTCAAACTCCTGACCTCAAGTGATCCGCCTGCCTTGGCTTCCCAAAGTGTCAGGATTACAGGTGTGAGCCACTGTGCCCAGCCTATACCTGAATTTAAATATATTTACTACATTTTGTTTATATTAATACAAAAAAGAATTTTAAATCTCTAAATACATGCCAACTAAAGGGAGGAACAAATGTGTGAATATATGAAAGTGGCAGGAGCTATATTAATACTGCAACTATTCTGATAGATATATCAACATTGAAACTATTGTGTATTATTATTATTGTTGTTAAATTTGTTTTTTTTAGAGACAGGGTCTTGCGCTGTCACCCAGGCTGGAGTGCAGGGTGTGATCATAGCTCACTGCAGCCTTGAACTCATAGGCTCAAGCAACCCTCGCACCTCAGCCTCCTTAGTAGCTGGGACTACAGGTGCATGACACCATGCCTGGCTGACTTTTTAACTTTTTGTAGAGATTATAGACTCTTGCTTTGTTGCCCAAGCTGGTTTCAAACTCCTGGCTTCAAGTGATCATCCTGCCTTGGCCTCCCAGTGTTGTATATTATTGAGAGCAGCATATTTTTTCAATTTCCTTCCTAGAGTAATTTCTTACATAATGTAAATATTCACGTGAAATAATTTTTCCTTCTTCATGTTTTATCCCATTCAAATGGATATACCAACACAGAGAATGAGTAAGAAGGCAGGGTGGGAGGGAGGTAAGGAAAAAGAAGAAAATTACTAAAAGTGGCACAGACAGTATTTAAAATTCTTAGGAAAAGGGAAAAAAGCAAATTTCCCTTATCGTCTTAAGAGGGTTTTACTACGGTTCTTAACAAAGCTTCCAAATACCGAATCTTTCCCTTCGTTTTGCAAACTGTGTGTACACCTGCCCCCCAACAATCAATCAACTAACCTAGGAAAAAGGGATTTCAAACTCAAGGTATATATATTAAGAGAATGGGAATAGGCCGAACACGGTGGCTTATGCCTGCAATCCCATCACTTTGGGAGGCTAAGGCAGGCGGATCGCTTGAGCCCAGGAGTTCGAGACTAGCCTGGGCAACATGGTGAAACCCTCTCTCTACTAAAAACACAAAAATTAGCTGGGCATGGTAGTGCGCACCTGCAATCCTAGCTACTTGGGAGGGTGAAGCACAAGAATCGCTTGAATCTGGGAGGCGGAGGTTGCAGTGAGCCAAGATGGCACCACTGCACTCCAGCCTGGATGACAGAGCGAGACTCTGTCTAAAAAACAGACAGACAAACAAACAAAAAACAAAACAAAACAAATAAATAGAGAATGGGAATAACAAGACTAGAAAGAGAACCCAAAAAGCCTTCTGCAATTATGAAACACATTGGCATAAATGATATAATCAAAAGTAGAAATTGAGGAAGAATTATTGTTTAGTAGGTATGAAGTTTCAATGTTGCAAGATGGAAAAGTTCTGGGGATCTGTTGCATAGCACTGTGATGCACTTAACTCTACTGAACTGTACACTTTTACATTATTAAGATGGTAAATTTTATGCTTTTTTTTTTTTTTTGAGACAGAGTCTCGCTCTGTCACCCAGGCTGGAGTGCAGTGGCATGATCTCAGCTCACTGCAAGCTCCGCCTCCCAGGTTCATGCCTTTCTCCTGCCTCAGCCTCCTGAGTAGCTGGGACTACAAGCGCCTGCCACCACACCTGCTAATTTTTTTTTTTTTTTGTATTTTTAGTAGAGATGGGGTTTCACCGTATTAGCCATGATGGTCTCAATCTCCTGACCTCGTGATCTGCCTGCCTCAGCCTCCCAAAGTGCTGGGATTGCAGGCGTGAGCCACCACGCCCGGCCACATTGTGTGTTTTAACCACAATTTTAAAAAGAAAAAAATAGTAAAAATGATCACTAGGAGGCATAGGCCAGAAGGATTACAGAGGGTAAAGATCAGGAGGCGGAGGTTGTAGTGAGTCACGATTACGCCACTGCACTCCAGCCTGGGCAACAGAGTGAGACTCCGTCTCAGAAAAAAAGATAAGTCTGGGTGCCATGGCTCATACCTGTAATCCCAGCACTCTGGGAGGCCAAGGTGGGCAGATCACCTGGGGTCGGGAGTTCGAGACCAGCCTGACCAAAATGGAGAAACCCTATCTCTACAAAAATACAAAACTAGCCAGGCGTGGTGGCACTTGCCTGTAATCCCAGCTACTCAGGAGGCTGAGGCAGGAGAATCACTTGAGCCTGGGAGGGGGAGGTTTCAGTGAGCCAAGATTGTGCCATTGCACTCCAGTCTAGGCGTGGTGGCAGGCACCTGTAGTCCCAGCTACTCAGGAGGCTAAGGCAGAAGAATCGCTTGAACCCAGGAGGCAGAGCTTGCAGTGAGCCGAGATCGCACCACTGCACTCCAGCCTGGGTGATACAGTGAGACTCCGTCTCAAAAAAAAAAAAAAAAAAAAAAGAGGGTAAAGATGAAGAACTGATGAAATGATGGAAGTACAGATACAGGAGTAGCAGCCAGAATGCATGGACACCTATTCTTTGATGCTGAGCAAGAACATGAGAATGGGCCGGGCATGGTGGCTCATGTCTGTAATCCCAGCACTTTGGGAGGCCACGGCAGGAGGACTGCTTGAGCTCAGGAGTTTAAGACCAGCTTGAGCAACATAGCAAGACCTTGTCTGTACTAAAAGTAAAAAAAATTGGCTGGGCATGGTGGCCTATGCCTATAGTCGCAGCTACTTGGGAGGCTGTGGCAGGAGGATCACTTGAGCCCAGGAGATCAAGGCTGCAGTGAGCCAAGCTTGTGCCACTGCACCCCAAGCCTGGGTGACAGAGTGAGACCTTGTCTCAAAAACAACAACAACAACAACAACAACAACAACAAATAACATGAGAATGACTTTGACTTCAAATACAACCACTTTATTTTCTGCCATATCATCTTCAGTCAATCAATAATAAATGTTGGTTGGATGAATGAATGAACCAATGAATCAATGAATCAATGAATGCACAGCATTTATTAGGGGCCTACCATGGGTCCAGCACTGGTAGAGACCACCACTTCTGCTCCTGGTTTGGCAGCAGAGAAAAAGGAAAAAGTTGTGCTGAAGGAAAGGAGTTCCCTGCTAGCATAAAGTTATGTAGGACGTTATTCCCACATCCCCCAAGGCAACACATATGAGCTGTAAAGTTAAAAGCAAAAATAAGTTAGCTCTTCATCAGTGTGGCTTCTTTCAAGGTGACTATTGCCATGCCAAACAAGTTTCAGTTGTAGAATAAAGACAGGGTTTTGTGGTAGATTAGGAAATTAGATTAAATTTACTCTTTGTTTAGGAACAACTGTTTCACCCACTGTCCCAGAAATGGCCCTTAACTTCTTATTTTTATCACTGCATCTCTGGGCCACCCTGCTCCTTCCCCTTAAAACCTTGGGGTTTTCTACCCTCTTTCACACACTTACATCATTTTCTCCTTCCAATCTCTCTTTCTCTCTCTGCAGAGCATTATATATCATTTTCTTCTCACTCAGTCTTCTTGACAGGTCAAAGTTTTCATCCTGTCAACAATAAAAAAAATTAGGACTAGGATCACATATTGCAGTCTGGGTACAAGGCGGGAAATTGTAGAGGATCTGGCATTGCAAAGAGGGGAGACTGAGATGGAGGAGAAGGCAAATGGGAGGAAGCAATGGTACTATGGGCAGGGTGCTAAATTAAAGTGACTTAAAAAAAACACTTGAAGGCCTGAGCTGGCATCAAGATGCCAGTTGTTTTTTTTTTTTTTAAACTGAGGGTATAAGTGACCAAGGAGGGAAAAAGCAATCTTGGGGGAAATCTCAAGACTGACTTATCAGAATTAGGGATAAATGAAACTTTTTTTAATCCCACCCAACCATGAAAACTATCATCTTTGTTTTGAATAAACATCTCACTCAGTGAGGCCTGAAGCACTTAGGTTTGGGTTGATGTGATTCCTTCCTACAGTGTGAGGATAGGTATCTGAGCTCAAGTTACATGAAGGAAGAGGGAACACAGGAGGTCATTTGTCCAAGGATACAAGGAGCTCAGACCGCGGTCTTGAGCATCCCAGTGTGATAGGTTGACCTAACTGGTTTCATGCTTCAGAGTTTCCCGTCTTCTACCTGCATACATACACATGCGCATACCTCACAAAGACACTTAAGCTAAGCCTACTAGTTGTGGTTTTTGATCCAAGATTTTTTATTTGAATGCTGGTGCCCAAACTGCCGTGCGTGTCTAGCCGACCCTGAGGTAGTAATGCGAGAGGGGGCTACCCGGTGACAGTGCTGACTGCAGGCTCCTTGCTTCCCATCCCCATTGGCTCCTGCTGGCTCTTCTGGTCCTGCTTCACTTCCTCAAAAGGCAGAAATAAGAAAGGGCTCTCTGAGTCTGCACAGAAACCTGCTTGATAGTTACAAAAACCTTCCCTTAGACCTGCGGCTAAGTTGGGGCCTATATTTTCAGGGACCCCCACGCTAGTTTCTGGCCATACACTACATCCCTCTTTTTAGTGGAAAGATAGCTTTCTCACCTTAACAAGGGTGTACAATCTTCTGGACTTAGTCTAAAAACCACTAACCTTCGCACCCCTTGCTTTCCTGGGCCCCTTTATCTCTGTCACCTACCAGTGCAGCCGCCCTGAGTTGCCTGATCTGTTTGTGAAGTCGTTGACACTCTTTGTACTTCTCTAAGAAACAGGCTTTCCCGGCCTCTACCTTTGCCTTAAGGCGTTCCACCTCTTGTGCTAACTGCTCCTCCACAGTTAGTGCCGCTTTCTTGTTCCTAGGCTCCTGAAGCATAAGATACACAGTCCTCATATTTAGCGGCCTTTTAGGATGTATGAGGAATTAGGATTGCTATCAGCCAGGTGGGGAGCCCCTAGGTATTGAAAAATATCCCATGAAACCTAAGAAAACTGGCCGGGTGCAGTGGCTCACACCTGTAATCCCAGCACTGTGGGAGGCCAAGGTGGGTGGATTACCAGAGGTCAGGAGTTTGAGACCAGCCTAGCCAACATGGTGAAACCCCATCTCTACTAAAAATACAAAAATTAGCTGGGCATGGTGGCAGCCACCTGTAAACCCAGCTAATCCCTCAGGAGGCTGAGGCAGGAGAATAGCTTGAAACCGGGAGGCAGAGGTTGCAGTGAGCTGAGATCAGGTCAGTGTACTCTAACCTGGGCAACAAAGCAAGACTGTCTCAAAAAAAAAAAAAATATATATATATATGTGTGTGTGGGTGTGTGTGTGTGTACATATGTGTGTGTGTATATATATAAAAATGTATATATGTATATAAAAGAAAACCAAGGAAATCCATACCCATCACAAGGTGGCTCAAATCTTTGAATGACTATAGTTTTTTTTTTTTTCTTGAGACAGAGTCTCACTCTGTCGCCCAGGCTGGAGTGCAATGGCGCGATCTCAGCTCACTGCAACTTCTGCCTCCCGGGTTCAAGCGATTCTCCTGTCTCAGCCTCCTCAGTAGTTGGGACTACAGACACCCATCACCATGCCTAGCTAATTTTTGTATTTTTAGTAGAGATGGGGTTTCGCCATGTTGGTTAGGCTGGTCTCGAACTCCTGACCTCATGATCCGCCTGCCTCAGCCTCCCAAAGTGCTGGCATTACAGGCGTGAGCCACTGCACCCAGTCGGGACTATAGATTATTTAAAACAGTAATTTCTTTGCTACATCAGAGGTCACAAACTGGAATGTGCCTATAGAGAGCAGGCAAGAAATGTAATCGAATGAAGGAGTTGAATGCAACAAAACAGTGCAGACTGCAGCTAGATGGAGAGCTCATGACCCACCTACAGGGGACAGCAGCTACTTAGCTCTAGCTATTGCTGCTGCACAGGAATGTGGGCTCAGCATTGCTAGGTCCTCTCATTTCTCAAAGGAAGCTGGAAATACAAATTTTTATGGGAAATATTCCTATTTTTAAATGTTGATAACTACTTTATAAAACATATCTGTGTCTGACCTTGACCTATGATCTGCTGATTTGCAAACTTTGTTCTAGTCTTTCCTATATCATGCTAAAGCATATAGTATCTTAGATATAGTAGGTACTCAGTGATTGACTGGATGGTGCATATATGATGTGAATTACAATCCCAATGACTGGATATCCCTCGGACATCAGGATTTCTCATGTCCTTGGATCAACTAAGTAAATGGGGCTTCCAGGCACCTGTCAACACCAGGGGGCCTCTTCTTCAACAATGTATTACAGGAAATTATTAGTCAATTAGGCTTTCATTCCTATGTAATTGATAATGATGATAATGCTAATATATTAATTATAACAAGATTTGCTTTGGGTGGTATATTTTCCTGTTATAGAGCCCTTTATAACCATTCATTTGTCTGCCCCCATTGTAACTCTATAAGAAGAGGGTAGGGGTTATTCTGTGTGAGCCCTAGTCCAAGGATCTAGTTAACTACATCTTGTCATGAAGTTTAACTTGCAGTATTCCTTTATCACTTATTACACATTGGAAATGCCCACTTCTAAACATTTTGTAAATCTCTGTCCTTTTGGCTAGAAAGCAAAACATCTAGAGGTAAACACTTTCTTACTTATCCTGTCCATCACCTGAAAATAGGCCCATATCCCTTTCTTCTATATCCCTATAGGCTCCCTCCCACATAACCATCCAAAGACAGACGTGCCATTAATTCCTGTTGTTTCTTCATTGCCATAGTTTCATTCTGCTTCATTTCCTCCACTGTCTGCTCGAGCTTCTTCTGGTCCTTCCTCTGCACAAAAACAGATTTCAGTACCATTGCTGGGAAAACACACACATGCACACATACACCATGGAAGGGCCTGCTAAGCTAATGAGCAAGCAGGATGCAGAGGGAGAGGCAAGTCTTCTCTTGTCAGTTTCTAAAGAAAGCCATGAGCTATCTCATTTCAGACTGTTTCCTCTGAGCCCTTTCCTAGAGCCAGTGATATCCAGGTATATTAAAGAACATTAAAATGTTCTTTATACAAAGAACAATGTATATTTTCTTGCAAATGCCTAAAAGTATTGTTTTCTCCCATGACTCTTACCTGTTCAGTTAAACTGAGAAAGAGGTGGCCATTTTCCTTTTTCAGGTGCTCTAACTGCTCTGTCTTATCTTGATCTCCCTGAACAAGCTTCTCCATTTCTTTCTCTTGAGTTGACAACTGGGCCTAAAATAAAAATAGTGAACATAACCAAGATACAAAAGAAGGAAAAAAAAACAGGAACAATGCTTTTTAATGTACAATAACAAAGAGATGTGTTTCCCTAGCAACTCCCAACTGCCAAATATCCTGTAGAACTCCTTTACTTTTCAGCTCAACCTTATAGCCTAAGAATCTAAGACTCAACTGAGTACAATTAGACAAACCACTCTTTAAAGCACCTCTTTAAGGCATAGCTTCCTAAAAATGAGAGCAGTTCTGCTATCTGCTCTATATTCCAGACTTTCGAGTACGATTTTGCTTGAAAAGATTAAAGTTTGATTATTGATATAGATGATTGTCATCTATATTAAGAGCTCATGGTAAATTAACTTAGTAATACATGAACAAATCACTAAGTTCCTTGTCAATTACGTTTTTTGTTGTTGTTGTTTTTTTTTTTTTTTTTTTTTTTTTGAGACAGAGTCTTGCTCTGTCGCCCAGGCTGGAGTGCAGTGGTGCGACCTCTGTTCACTTCAACCTCTGCCTCTGGGGTTCAAGTGATTCTTCTGCCTCAGCCTCCTGAGTAGCTGGGATTACAGATGCACCTGTAAATTAGCACGCTTAGCTAATTTTTTATTTTTAGTAGAGACGGGGTTTTGCCATATTTGCCAGGCTGATCTCAAACTCCTGACCTCAGGTGATCCACCTGCCTCGGCCTCCCAAAGTGCTGGGATTACAGATGTGAGCCACTGCACCTGGCTGTGAATGATTTTTTTTTTTTTTTAAAGTGGGGGAGCATGAGTAGGGTGGAGGCTTACCTGGTTCAAGAATAGAAAATACATAACCTGAAACTTTAGTGTGATACTTTGAAAAGTATGCCATTAGGCACTCACTGCAATGAAATACATCTTTCTAGGCCACCAAATTGGAGCCATGGTAAGGCTAAGAAAATATCCTTTGACAAAGGTATGGCATTACCTACCTGAAGCTGATCCACTCTGATTCCCATCTTCTCATTTTCTGAGGACATCTTCTGGTTTTGTTCTTTCAGTCTGTGGAGGTGGAGATAACTATGTGAAAAATTCACTCATTGCAGGTCAGCTACCCCTGGCCTTAAATGATTTAAGGCTGGCTTGGCCCTAAGCCTGCAGAGTTATTTAAAAATCTACTAGTCTCCATTGCAGTCCTGTTTTGGCTTCCTGACTCCAAAAAACTGCAAGTATTCAATCCCTAAAGTTAATATTTGAAATCAGATAATTTTTCCTGACTATTCTGATACCAATTTTCTAATTCATGATTCAAAGGGCAGAGAATCACACCTTCAATGTCATAACAGTGTTTTCTCGCAAATTCCAGAAATCTAATCTGACTGTATTTAAGGGTATCGATGGTACAGCAGCTCTTCCCCTCCCAGAATTATGGGACACACTCACTGAAGCAACTCTGTCTCCCAATAGTCCTTCTGTTCTTTCACTTTCAGTTCCAACTTCTTATTGATGCTCTGTAGGGTTTCTAGCTCCTCCTATAGATTGAAACACCATCAGAGGGACAGACTATTTCTATGACTTTTGAATGGGTATCTTAGGCAGGCAACAAATATTTATTGAGCACTTACTATATGTCAGGCATAGCATGACACAGCAGTAAATGAAATACTCAAATAAAAGGAAGATGTTCTTTTTTTTTTTTTAAGACAGCGTCTCACTCTATCACCCAGGCTGGAGTGCAGTGGCGTGATCTTGGCTCACTGCAACCTCTGTCGCCTGGGTTCAAGCGATTCTCCTGCCTCAGCCTCCCAAAGTGCTGGGATTTCAGACATGAGCTACTGCACCCAGCCACAAAATGCTCTTTCTATATTAAAAATGCATCACCTTAATTTCTCATTCCACTGGAGCTTATAATTTGTTCATTAAATAAATATGTACTCAGAGCCTATTCCATACTAGACACTGTTCTTGCACTGCAGACACAACAGTGGACAAAATAGACAAAACTGCCCTTTTCCTAGAACAGTGCTGTTCAGTAAGTGAGAGCCACATATAATTTTAAAATCTTAGTAGGCACATTTTTAAAAAGGTAAAAAGAAACAGATTAATTTTAATAATAGTGTGTGTATATATATATATTTATTTAAAACTTTATTTTATTTTATCTTACTTTATTTTATTTTATTTTATTTATTTTATTGTTTTGAGATAAAGTCTTGCTCTATTGCCTAGGCTGGAGTGCAGTGGTGTGATCTTGGCTCACTGCAACCTCTGCCTCCCAGGTTCAAGCAATTATCTTGCCTCAGCCTCCTGAGTAGCTGGGATTACAGGCGCATGCCACCATGCCTGGCTAATTTTTTCTTGAGACAGAGTCTTGCTCTGTTGCCCAGGCCAGAGTGCAGGGGTGTGATCTTGGCTCACTGCAACTTCCGCCTCCCAGGTTTGAGCAGTTCTCCTGCCTCAGCCTCCTGAGTAGCTTGGATTACAGGCACCTACCAGCATGCTTGGCTAATTTTTGTATTTTTAGTAGAGACAGGGTTTCACCATCTTGGCCAGGCTGGTCTCAAACTCCTGACCTTGTGATCCACCTGACTCAGCCTTCCAAAGTGCTGGAATTACAGGTGTGAGCCACTGCACCTAGCCAAATGATAGTATATTTAACCCAATGTAGCTAACATACCATTTCAACATATAAACAATTAAAAGGAGATATTCAGCTGGGGAAGGTGGCTCATGCCTATAATCCCAGCACTTTGGGAAACCGAGGTGGTTGGATCACCTGAGGCCAGGAGTTTGAGACCAGCCTGGCCAACATGGTAAAACTCTGTCTCTACAAAAATATAAAAATTGGCTGGGTGTGGTGGCGATTACCTGTAACCCCAGCTACTCGGGAGGCTGAGGCAGGAGAATCTCTTGAATCTGGGAGGCGGGGGTTGCAGTGAGCCAAGATCACACCCTTGCACTCCAGCTTGGGTGACAGAGTGAGATTCCATTTCAGACAAACAAACAAAACTAATGCCTGTTCAAAGATACTGGTATAAGAGGGTGAGATCACAGGCAAAACAGAATATGGTGCTAGATAAGAGGCACCATCCAGTTCTGATCTCCACGGTCCAAGGTCACCTATAACCAGCAGCCATACCTGCTTCTTTTGGAGCTCAGCCTGCATGTCTGAGTTCTGCTTCTGGAGGCTGACACAGCTATCCTTCAGCTCCTGGTTTTCTTTGCAAAGCTCCTTGTTGTGCTGCTCAATCTCTTCTACCTCTCCCTACAAAAGAACATTCCATAAACTATATTCCAAGTCCCTCTAGCAGAAAATTCCCATAGGTTAGGATGGTGAGGGACTGGCTGATTGCCATTCACTGCAGTGACATCTAGGTACCCCAAATGGGGGCTGCTCCTTAATACCTAGGTAAGGGTATAACAGAGGTATGTCTTTATAACTGCAGCAATACCAAAAAAAAAGCCATTAAAAGTTAAAAGGAAAATTGACACAAGAATGTAGCTTCTTCTTGCAGACCATATTGCTTGTCTCTCCCAATGGACTTAGCTCCTTGAGGCCAAGGACAGTGTTTCAACTGATTCTTCATTGTGTTCCCAGTGCCTACCGTAGTGCTGGATGAAGAGTAGGTGTCCTGTTAAATGATGAAGTAAGAAAATGAATCTAATGCTCATGTATGACAGACAGGCTGTAGGCCAGAACTGAAAGAGATAAAAATATTTGGTGCTTCTCTCCTCAAAGGAGCCTTTACATTTACCATGGTGATAAGATGTGTAGATGACAACAATTAAACAACTGGAAAAGTTAAAAGAATAACCGAATGCCAGCTGAGTTAAAGAAGTTTTAGAGCCGGGCGCGGTGGCTCCAGCCTGTAATCCCAGCACTTTGGGAGGCCAAGACGGGCGGATCACGAGGTCAAGAGATCGAGACCATCCTGGTTAACCCGGTGAAACCCCGTCTCTACTAAAAAATACAAAAAACTAGCCAGGCGAGGTGGTGGGCGCCTGTAGTCCCAGCTACTCGGGAGGCTGAGGCAGGAGAATGGTGTGAACCCGGGAGGCGGAGCTTGCAGTGAGCCGAGGTTGTGCCACTGCACTCCAGCCTGGGTGACAGAGCGAGACTCTGTCTCAAAAAAAAAAAAAAAAAAAAAAAAAAAAAAAAAAAAAAAAAAAAAAAAAAAAAAAAAAAAAAAAAAAAAAAAAAAGAAGTTTTAGAAAAGGAAGAAATCACTTATTGTTATGATTCTTGTTAACATTCCTAAGTCATTCCTTAGTGAGTCCGCATGAGTACTATATGCATTTTTTCCAACGATACCGTTAGATATTCAATAAAGCCTTATTAACTCAAATTCCACCCTATCCTACATTGCTACTCGTAACGGCAGTAAGGGATTGAGGTGAGAAGTTTTATAAACCTGAGTGGTAACAACCAGGATGTCTTCCTCATTTTCTGGACGGAACTGGAAAGGAATACTTGCTCCCCGGACCACGCCATCCTGATCCACATAGCAGAACTGGTAATACTCATCATCCTTGGGCAGGTAGTAAGCTGAAAACACAACATAAGTTTTAATTCAAAATAAGATCTATTCAGAAAAGTAAAATTCTGGAAGTCTTTTCATCTGCCCCAGAAAGCTCAAGCTGAAGGGAATTAATTAGTCTTGACTACTGTCTTTAACACCTTTGATCCAGTATTTTTCTCACCTTTGAATTGGACTTCCTGCTGTTTAGTTGATTTGTTGTTTAGGTCAATGGGCAAAGTAACCCACATGAAGGTATAATACTCACGGACTGTCTTCCATCCCACCTGCAATGACAAGAAGTTCTTATTTAGTACCTGAAAGGGGCGTGGGGAAAATCCTAATTGGGCTACATCTTCTTAAAATCACTTTTTATTTGTATATATTGAAAATATAGGCCGGGTGTGGCGGCACTTTGGGAGGCCAAGGCGGGTGGATTGCCTGAGCTCAATAGTTCAAGACTAGCCTGGGCAACATGGTGAAACCCCGTCTCCACTAAAATACAAAAAATAAGGCAGGCGTGGTGGTGGGCGCCTGTAATCCCAGCTACTCAGGAGGTTGAGGCAGGAGAATTGCTTGAACCCAGGAGGTGGAGGTTGCAGTGAGCCGAGATTGCACCACTGCACTCCAGCCCGGGTGACAGAGTGAGACTCCATTTCCAAAAAAAGAAAAAATAAAATATAATAGAATGAGTTCATTATGACAAGATTCTCACACCAGGGCTCAAATCTTTTTTAATTTTTTATTTTATTTTTCACTTATGACAACTACATATGGGAAAACGTCTGATATAACCAAAAATTGGGGTGCACATACACAGCTCAAAATACAAGTCTTGGAAAGATTTGAAAACTAGCTCCTCACCACCCAGGAGAAAAGCTCCAAAAATTCTATCTACAAGTCAGAGATAGAGCTGAGACTGATTTAAGGGGAAAGTTCTGGGAATAGGAACCCTGATCCTCTTACAATGGTGTTCTTTGGGCTTCTAAATCAGAAATCACTTCTGACCTGCCCTCTCTATTGGTGTGTCCTCTATTATGTCCAATTAAGCCCTGTCATATATCAACCTACTGCATTAAAAAAAAACTCCATTCTTCTTTATAATGTCTGTTTTGGGGGCAGAGGGAGAACAGGGTTCTTAGATTATGAGGCACCAGATAAGAGATTCCAGGTCTATACAATTTTTTTTCTTTACTGTTTTTCTTCATGCATGCTTAATGATGGTTTTTTGGCAATAAAGATATTAACAACAATCTGGTAGTCATAAAGGCCTCTTCTAGGTATTGAATACAATAAATCATAAGACATAAGGATGCAGCAAAACATGCCTCAGAGCAGAAAGCTGGCTAAGTGGAAAATATTCTCACAAATGTGAAGGGGGTAAAAGATTGCTCAAATCTTATCTAGAAAATAAAAGCACACCAGAGAATAGAAAGCCAGCTATTGTGTCTTCAAGGGGACAACACTCAGCAAATGAGAAGCAAAATTACATTTATTGCCATATTTTGACCCTGCCTGAGCTCAGTAAGAAGAGAACTAAAAATAAATCCCATTTTTATATATTAAGGAATCAAAGCAGGGTGGAAAAGGCCATACCAAAAACTCATCAGAACATCCTAGGGCATGTTTTAGAGTCTCATTAATACACACCCCACTGCTGTAAGCATCTCAGAGCCACTGCAGCCTGTGGTGGTACAGGAAGCAGGAATTTTATGGAGTCCTCATTCACATCCTGGAGCTTCTTAATGCACTGTGACCGAAATATCATTGGGAAGACCTAAGAATTATCGCTGCCTTGGAACAGGGAAACAACTTCTAGCCACCTGCAATGTCTGTCCTTGGCTCCTCCATTTGAGTAGTCCTTGTTCCAGTTTGTCTTGGAAACATTTAAATGCCCAAGTCAAGGAGAGTATGAAGCATGGGATTATACACTGAGGGAAGGAAAGCAGACTACTTCCTGCTTTAGGCTCCATCATTGGTGGTGACTTTCACTATAGAGAAGATGTAATGTATTTGTATGTATTAAAAACATTTACTGGCCGGGCGCAGTGGTGCATGCCTGTAATCCCAGCTACTCAGTGGCTGAGGCATGAGAATCACTGGAACCCAGGAGGTAGAGGCTGCAGTGAGCCCAGATTGCACCTCTGCACTCCAGCCTGGGTGAAGAGAATGAGACTGTCTTAAAATAAATTTTAAAAAATACATAAAAAATAAAAAGATTTACTGAGTACCTACCTGGTGTCAGATACTACCAGTGTCTGGGGTGATGAGGAGTTGAATAGTCCAATTAAGACTACACTGAAAGAACACTGGGGAGAGCGTTTGAGGTGAGATGTGAAGGACGGAACTTTACAGTCAACTCTTCGTTCTCTAATTTACTATCTGTTGCTCAAAGGAATTCAGCAGAGTAGAGGAGAAAAAGCAGAGGTTTGGGAGCCAAACCTGCTTCACGGCTTATTCACTGTGAGGCCTTGGGAAAGTCACCATCTCTCAAGGATATTCATTTTACTTACTTACGCCCAAGAGATACTACTACCCACCTCAGGGGGCTACTGCACTGTGAGAATTTTTCTTTTTTTATATTTTAGACGGAGTCTTGCTCTGTTGCCCAGGCTGGAGTGCAATCACATGATCTTGGCTCACCACAACCTCCACCTCCCGGGTTCAAGTGATTCTCCTGCCTCAGCCTCCCAAGTAGCTGGGATTACAGGCATGTGCCACCATGCCTGGCTAATTTTGTATTTTTAGTAGAGACAGGGTTTCTCATGTTGGTCTGGCTGGTCTCGAACTCCCTAGCTCAGGTGATCCATCTGCCTCGGCTTCCTAAAGTGCTGGGATTACAGGCATGAGCCACCGCACCCAGCCCACTGTGAGGATTTAATTAGGTAATACACACATACACACACACACACACACACACACACACTCTGAGGATTTAATTAGGCAACACACACATACACAGTGAGGATTTAATTAGGCAACACACACACACACATCCTCAACAAAGGCCTAGCAAAGCATGTCCTCAGGGTAGGCATTCAAGTCAATATCTTTATGGACAATGGACATTAGAAGCCCTTCTTTAGATTAACAATTATTTATTTATTGGGGTATGGTAATACCTCTGAAATGTATGAAGTATTCCAAATATAGATACATTAAAAAAAAATTTCTTTTTGAGATGGAGTCTCACTCTGTTGCCCAGGCTGGAGTGCAGTGGCACAATCTTGGCTCACTGCAACCTCTGCCTCTTGGGTTCAAGCAATTCTCCTGCCTCAGCCTCCTGAGTAGCTGGGACTACAGGTGGGTGCCAACACACCTGACTCATTTTTGTATTTTTAGTAGAGATGGGGTTTTACCATGTTGGCCAGCCTGGTCTTGAACTCCTGACCTCAAGTGATCCGTCTGCCTTGGCCTCCCTCCTGGGACTACAGGAGTGAGCCACCACACCTGGTCAAAATATTTTTAAACATTTGTTTTGAAAAAGCCCAAGATTGGCCAGGCGCGGTAGCTCAAGCCTATAATCCCAGCACTTTGGGAGGCTGAGGTGGGTGGATGGCATGAGGTCAGGAGTTCGAGACCAGCCTGGCCAACGTGGTGAAACCCCATCTCTACTAAAAATACAAAAATTAGCCGGGCATGGTGGTGGGGCCCTGTAATCCCAGCTACCCAGGAGGCTGAGGCAGCAGAATTGCTTGAACCGGGGAGGCGGGGTGCCTGTAATCTCAGCTACTTGGGAGGCTGAGGCAGGAGAATTGCTTGAACCAGGGAGGCGGAGGTTGTAGTGAGCCAAGATCGCGTCATTGCCCTCCAGCCTGGGTGACAAGAGCAAAACTCCGTCTTAAAAAAAAAAAAAAACCCAAGATTTTCATATGGTATACGGTGAAGTCTTTACTGTTGGTTGCCAAGTCTAAGCAAAACAGAATATAACGATGTTCCAAAAACAAAAACAAAAAAGATGTTATAAAGTACATTTTAAAGTCTGGTAAGTAATTTTTGAATCATTCTCTTTTTCATGATCTGTACCTGCATTAACCAATGATAGCCACTAGCCACATGAAGCTATTTAAACTTTAATTAACATTAAGTAAAATTTAAAATCCAGTTACTTGGGCCTGGTGCGGTGGCTCACACCTGTAATCCCAGCACTTTGGGAGGCCGAGGCAGGCGGATCACCTGAGGTTGGGAGTTCAAGACCAGCCTGACCAACATGGAGAAACCCTGTCTCTACAAAAAATACAAAATTAGCCAGGCGTGGTGGCACATGCCTATAATCCCAGCTACTCAGGAGGCTGAGGCAGGAGAATTGCTTGCACCTGAGAGGCAGAGGTTGCGGTAAGCCATGATCACGCCATTGCACTCCAGCCTGGGCAACAGAACGAAACTCTGTCTCTAAATAAATAAATAAAATAAAATAAAATAAAATAAAATCCAGTTACTTAGTCATACTAACCACATTTCAAGTGCTTAACAGCCACACGTGGCTAGTAGCAGCAGTACTAGACAGTGAAGCTATAGCTCCATTGTGGAAAACTCTTACCAGGCAATGTGACCTATATGCTTCGCTACATATGAGGAAGAAGAAAAGCAACTACCATCTTCTTTCTAAGACAGAAAACACTCTGGTGTGTTGGCACACCTTTTAGTCTGATGACTCAATACTCTGCAGTCTCAAGAGCTGTCACGACACTTGCCAGTGTCCTGCTGTTGGCCACTATCCCTATCTCCAAACACCAGTCTTGCTACCTCCAGCTTAAATTGCTCATCAATAAGTCTGATGTTCCAAACAATAAAGGCAAAGGAATTCAATGAAGGATATAAATAAGCAACAGCTCCTTCTCAGTGCAGTTGAGAACGGTGTCTGATTTCAGGATGAACAGCACTGGCAAATAGGCACATGACATACTGAGGTGTCAAACCAAAGGTCACTGACATTGGGAGTTGGCAGTATACATTACTTAAAATTTGACCTTTATTTCCTGTCTCTGGAAATAGGAAGATTTGTCATTATGGTGTATGTGAGATGTATGAGAAAGACACGGATGGGAGAGCGAAGGGGACATAGAGAGTAAGCTAATTAAAATTTAAAAATACCATTCTGTACTTGAACTGATGGGGTGATCAGACACTGGAAGAGGTCACTAAGGGAGCTCATAAACTTTCAGTCCTTGGAAATCATCATAAAGTAGTCAGACGCACTTATTCAGGAATAAACTTTTTGAACACAGGATGTCAATATCCTCAATATCCTTTCTAGATTTATGGTATTTGTATCAAAACAAACTAAACACCATACCAAGTAAGGAAGTAATGTTTACTCTCAGAAGTGACATATAAGGTCAACCATCTCAGTCAAGTCATACATAAATATTTCAAAATAGGATCATTTAAAAAGCATTTAATTTGGGAGGCTGAGGTGGGCAGATCACAAGGTCAGGAGTTTGAGACCAGCCTGGCCAACATGGTGAAACCTGGTCTCTACTAAAAATACAAAAATTAGCAGGGTGTGGTGGCATTCGCCTATAATCCCAGCTACTCTGGAGGCTGAGGCAGGAGAATAGCTTGAACCCAGGAGGTTGGGTTGCAGTGAGCCGAGACTGCGCCACTGTACTTCAGCCTGGGCAATAAGCGAGATTCCGTCTCAAAAAAAAAAGAAAAAAGAAAAAAGAAAGAAATCAGTTAGGCATTGTTCTGCACACCTGTAGTCCCAGCTACTGAGAAGGCTGAGGTGGGAGGATCACTGAGCCTGGGAGGTTGAGGCTGCAGTGAACTACACTCTAGCCTGAGAGACAGAGCAAGACCCTATCTCAACAACAAGAAAGCATTTACATTTGGTATTTGACAGCACAATAAGGATAGGCGTGGTGGCTCACACCTGTAATCCCAGTGCTTTGGGAGGCTGAGGCAGGCAGATCACCTGAGGTCAGGAGTTCGAGACCAGCCTGGCCAACATGGTGAAATTCCATCTCTACTAAAAATACAAAAATTAACTGGATGTGATGGCAGGTGCCTGTAATCTCAGCTACTCGGGATGCTGAGGCAGGAGAACTGCTTGAACCCAGGAGGTGGAGGTTGCAGTAAGCTGAGATCATGCCATTGCACTCCAGCCTAGGTGACAGAGCCAAAATTTGAGGATTACATGATTTGCCATCTTATTTTAGCTTGACACTGAAATGAAAACTTGAGTCCCACAGCACACATTAGTGTGTGAAGAGAGAAGTGCTGTGGAGCTTGACTAGAATTTAAAAATTGCTCACACATATTATACAAAATGCTTATAATACATAGAGAGTCACACAGTCAGGTAACTAAGAATCACCTCTAGTTTCTGATCACTTGGTACTAAATTAATCACTTACTCTAAAGATGCCAATCCAATCCTTTTGACGAGGGATGAAATTCTGGGTGAAGGTATAACGACATGTGACGTCCCCTCCAGGGATGTAGAACTTCTCCACACTGTTAAAGATGACCTGAGAGAAATGACAGTGATCCAGCAAGACAGCTGATGTGGGGGGATCTTCGATGGTCTTCTCCATGGTAGGGGTCCTGTTATGAAATGTGGAATAGAGTAAGGCTCAGAAAGCATTGTCTGAAATGTTGGCGATTTCTGGGCTTTCATCCAGAGAACATTCTGTGCAAAGCAAGCCAGGAAAAGCAAAATCCTGACAAATACTGAGATGACACAACTTGCTTTCTGTTTCACTTTGAGCCATCTCAGTCACAACTTCCTATGCTACGAGAATTTTCTGACAATATCTTTAACTTCTTCACCACAGGCCCCACAACTCTCACATGAACAGAGGCTTATAGCTGCTTTGGTTCCCCTTTCTCTAACTGACTTAAATAAACAAGGCAGCATAGATAAAATAGCCTGAGCTGGGAACCGTGAAACTTAAATTCTAGATTTTTCATCCCAACAAGCCCTATGACTTTAGGAAAGTCCATCTCTCTGGATTTCATCTTCTATATTCAATCCCATTTATTCTATAATTATCAGGACCTTCCATATGTAAGATCCTGTGCTAGGACCTGGGGATGGGAACGAGAAGAAAGGAATGAGAGAAAATTATCTGACATGCAGTAGTGACAAGCACAGGTTCTAAATTAGAATGGTGGCATCCAAATTCCAGTTTCACCACCTATTAAATTTGTGGCATTGGGCAATTTATTTAATCTGATGGGCTCTGTGCTTGTTTCCTCATCTGTAAAATGGGGCTAAAAATACCATCTATCCCATTTAGTTTTTTGTGAGGCATAAGTGAAATAATGTAAAATGTCCAGCCCTTAAATCAGTGTCTGCCATTGTAGGCACTTCCCACCAAGTATATGCATGTTGAATGACAAAGTACTTAGCACAGAGTCTGCATAAAGGGTTTAAGAGATGTCAGTTATAGTTAGTTATATAGTTATTTCTGTTGTAGTTGTGGATTTTTTTTCCTGGTACAACCTTAAAAGGGGTCCCAATCCAATTGAGAGAATAGATGAGTATACAAATGACTGCCAAATGAATCGAATAAGAAGTGCAAAATGCTCTGGGGTTCAAAAGAGGGAGAGATGCAACTACTTAGGAAAATAAAGAAAACTTCAGGGAATGAGAAGAATGTTAGATTAGCCCTCCAAGAGGATTAGGATTTTGACAAGTGGGTTTTTGAGTGAGGGCATTCTAGGTGAAGGAAACAGCATGAGTAACAACAAAGAAACAGAAAAATACAACCCACATTTGGAAGACAGCAAACAAGTTTGGATCCCTAGCTATACATGGGGATAATACCCTGTGTTTCACCTTTCTAGGTTACAGTACCCATAAAATGTGATCAAGAATAGGAAAGTTGTGGCTGGGCGCAGTGGCTCACACCTGTAATCCCAGCACTTGGGGAGGCAGAGGCAGGTGGATCTTTTGAGTCCAGGAGTTCATGACCACCCTGGGCAACATGGCAAAACCCCATCTCTATAAAAAACTACAAAAATTAGCTGGGCGTGGTGGTGCACACCTGTAGTCCCAGCTACTTGGGAGGCTGAAATGGAAGAATTGTTTGAACCTGGGACGACAAGGCTGCAGCGATCCAAGATTGTGCCACTGCATTCCAGCCTGGGCAAGGGAGCAAGCCCGTGCCTCAAAACAATAACAACAACAACAACAACAAAATAGGAAATTAGGGTGGTGCATGCCTGTAGTCCTAGCTGTTCAGGAGGCTGAGGTGAGAGGATTGCTTGAACCCAGGAGTTAAAGTCCAGCCTGGACAATATAGTGAGACTGTCTCTATTAAAAAAGAAAAGAAAAAAAAAAAGGCCACGCGTGGTGGCTCACACCTGTCCTAGCACTGTGGGAGGCCGAGGCAGGTGGATCACTTGAGGTTAGGAGTTCAAGACCAGCTTGACCAAGATGGAGAAACCCCATCTCTACTAAAAATACAAAATTAGCCAGGCGTGGTTGCACATGCCTGCAATCCCTTGGGAGGCTGAGGTACTTGGGAGGCTGAGGCAGGAGAATTGCTTGAACCTGGGAGCGGAGGTTTCGGTGAGCCAAAATCACGTCACTGCACTCCAGCCTGGGCAAGAAGAGTGAAACTCTGTCTCACCAAAAAAAAAAAAAAAAAAGAAAGAAAGAAAAAAGAAGAAGAAAAAAAGGCCAGGCATGGTGGCTCACACCTGTAATCTCAACACTTTGGGAGGCCGAGGCGGGTGGATCACCTGAGGTCAGGAGTTTGAGACCAATCTGGCCAACATGGTGAAACCCCGTCTCTACTAAAAATATGAAAATTACTCCGGCGTGATGGCAGGCGCCTGTAATCCCAGTTACTCGGGAGGCTGAGGCAGGAGAATCGCTTGAACCCAGGAGGCAGAGGGTGCAGTGGGCCAAATAATGCCACTGCACTCCAGCCTGGGGGACAAAGTGAGACTCTGCCAACAACAACAACAACAAACAAGAAAAAAAAAAAAAAAAAAAAAGAGAGAGAAACCATTTTAGAGGCAAAAAGAGTACATAAAATAAACAAAGTGGGCCAGGCGCGGTGGCTCACGCCTGTAATCCCAGCACTTTGGGAGGCCTAGGCGGGCGGATCACGAGGTCAGCAGATCGAGACCATCCTGGCTAACACGGTGAAACCCTGTCTCTACTAAAAATACAAAAAATTAGCCGGGTGTGGTGGCGGGCGCCTGTAGTCCCAGCTACTCAAGAGGCTGAGGCAGGAGAATGGCGTGAATCCGGGAGGCAGAGCTTGCAGTGAGCCTAGCCGAGATGGCACCACTGCACTCCAGTATGGGAGATATAGCAGACTCTGTCTCAAAAAAAATAAAAATAGAAATAAAATAAATAAATAAATAAATAAGTATGATAACCAAAAAACAAGACCTCCCCAAACAACCATAATACTTCTTCTAGGCCGGGCGCAGTGGCTCAAGCCTGTAATCCCAGCACTTTGGGAGGCCGAGACGGGCGGATCATGAGGTCAGGAGATCGAGACCATCCTGGCTAACACGGTGAAACCCCGTCTCTACTAAAAAATACAAAAAAAAAAAATTAGCCGGGCGTGGTGGCGGCGCCTGTAGTCCCAGCTACTCGGGAGGCTGAGGCAGGAGAATGGCAGGAACCCGGGAGGCGGAGCTTGCAGTGAGCCGAGATCCGGCCACTGCACTCCAGCCTTGGCGACAGAGCGAGACTCCGTCTCAAAAAAAAAAAAAAAAAAAAAAAAAAAAAACATAATACTTCTTCTAGCCCCATCCTATCTATTTACTGGTTTTGCTTTGAAGTCTAAGCAACCAGGCCTGCTCTTTCAACTCCCCAGTAGTCAGTTTTTTCATAAAGAAGGCAATGGGACTTTGGAGCACTAAACTGTCTGTTCTTGAAATTGAGTTAAGGAACTAAAAAAATGCATTGACTTTCTGGTTTGTGACACAGTTTAGCCACATCCTCAACCTCAAACCTCAAAAGAGTTTTTCTTTCCTTTTTTTTTTTTTTTTTTAGATGGAGTTTCGCTCTGTTGCCCAGGCTGGGGTGCAGTGGCGCTATCTCAGCTCACTGCAACCTCCAAGGCAATGGGACTTTGGAGTACCTAAACTGTCTGCTCTAAACAGTGGTGAACAAAATGACACTTTTCAGTTTATATAGCTGATGCCATGCCACCAAATGCTGTGATGCGAGATGAGGTTGCGTTATTGCAGACTAGGTGGTGCACCTTGTTGTTGCTTGCAGGCCTGCCAAATGTATCTTCCACAGCCCAAAGAAGTAGGACGCAAACCAGCGCCGCTATTTTTGTATTTGAAAGCTGAGGTTGTACTGTATACTGGGCTGATTTTAACACTGACTTCAAAGATCTGCCACTTCGGGCCTCAAAGGGGCTGGGAATGAAAGCAGCTGGTTTTCTGCCGGCTTCAAAGATTTTTCAAATAGAGCTGCGCTCTGTTGCCCAGGCTGGGGTGCAGTGGCGCTATCTCAGCTCACTGCAACCTCCGCCTCCGGGGTTCAAGCAATTCTCCTGCTTCAGCCTCCCGAGTAGGTGGGACTACAGGTGCAAACCACCATGCCCGGCTAATTTTTTGTATTTTTAGTACAGAGGGGGTTTCACCATGTTGGCCAGGCTGGTCTTGAACTCCTGACCTCAGGTGATCCACCCACTTCAGCCTCCCAAAATGCTGGGGTTACAGGCGTGAGCCACCACGCCTGGCTCAAAAGAGTTTTTCAAAGATGGGGGAGAGGTCATATTCCAATCTAGGTCAAGACTTTTCCCTATAATAAACTGTTAAATGTGTACAATGAGGGTTTCTCTTGGATGCTATGGGAGAGTGGGCAGGGAGGTTTCTCAGCTTGCAGATCCTTTATTTCCAAGTGATCTACTGTCATATGGAGGCCAGCATATCCCCTCTGTCCTAGGCCTGCAGAACCAATTTATCTGTGCATGTAAAATTACTTAACCTGTCCTTTGCGAATCATGAAGAACACTCAGATAAGAGTGCTGGGTGCGGTAGCTCATGCCTGTAATCCCAGCACTTTGAGAGGCCAAGGCAGGCAGATCACCTGAGGTCAGGAGTTCAAGACCTGGCTGGCTAACATGGTGAAACCCCGTTTCTACTAAAAATACAAAAAATTAGCTGGGAGTGGTGGCACGCATCTGTAATCCCAGCTACTTGGAAGGCTGAGGCAGAATAGCTTGAACCTGGGAGGCGGAGGTTGCAGTGAGCTGAGATCTCACCATTGCACTCCAGCTTGGGCAACAAGAGCAAAACTCTGTCTCAAAAAAAAAAAAAAAAAAAGAGTGACTTCAGGACCTGTCCCTCAATGAACCCAAGTACCTTACTCCCATTTCTTTTCCTTCACAACACTATCACCATTGTATACATAACACAATGCCTAAGGTGTAGTAATCACCCATTAAGTATTTGTTGGATAAATGAACTAATATGCACATCATTCATCAAAAAGTAAAAAAGGAAGGGCTTTGTAGGTAAACAATGGTAAGGGTGACTCTGGGGCTAAGAGTGTGTGTGTTTTATTTTTTTAAGCCCTCTTAATTTGTTGGTTACCTTGGAAAAACTGCTGTTTCTCAGTT